TTTTTGCTTTTCCCTTACAATAATGAATTAAATACAATAAACGCACTTGATCATCCTTGATTCGAGGTTCTATAAACGATTCTATTTGTCGTATGAACCTAAAATAGTCGCGAGACCTTCCATCAAAAAATGAGAGTTCAACCTTAGGTAGTTCTAAACCCTCTATCGATGACTTACAATAATAAATATCAGACATAACATGTGGGTTACCCATAAAAAAGTTATCACTAACGACTTGCCTAGAGCCCTGTGATCCGTCGAGCTCTTCCACCGTCCTCATGTGTGATTTTTTTCGGTTTGACATCATAAATAAAGTTCAGTAGAAAAGGTAACAATACAAAATAGTAATTCCACGGTTCAGTTCAAAAATAATGATTAATAATCCAACTTCTTCCTCCAAGGAAGTCTAGTGTGATAAACGATTAAAATTCCAAATGTTTCTTTATAATTCTTAATAATCCGAATAGTTCCAAAATATATATGTTCCGATGGATATTTCCAAAGTATAATTCAAAATAGAAGAAAATACCAGACTGTAGATTTATTTCGACAGTGGCTGTCCTAATTGTTTCCAATAGAAACACTCCTGTACGTTCCTCCTAGTTCCGGGTCCCGACCAAATCAAAAGGGCAAAATTCTAGGAGAAAACGTCTCTTTATTATTATAAAATGGAAATACAGAGTCTTACGGTATTTGTGTTTCTTCCAGGGTTAAATTACTCCGCAGAGTATCCAAAACAATAACTAGTAAGTGACACTAAGTCCAGCAGCCACCGCGTCCATCCAAAAATGTGGCGGTAGCCATATTATATCAAATTTAAACAATATATGTACAGTTCAGAAGCAAACACAAAAACTTCAATATAAGTACAAATATAGAAAGAATAACAACATACAATGATAAAATCTCAAATTGGAATCAAATAAAATACCAAAAATGTCAAGAGAAAAAGTCCATCATGTCATAGCAAAAATATGTAAACATGGAGGGATTTTCCAAAACACAAAACATTCAAAAAGAATTCTACACCTATTGTGCACCTTAATTATTTGTACTCTACTATTGAAAATGTGGCTGTATTATACTGTTTCTGTCAGTGACATGGTGTAAATATGCAATCAGAAACTGACTCTTATAATTAATTTAACTGCTATAACTTTACAGTAATTGTGAAAGCATTTGTGACAATTTGATCTAGCCTGTAAACTGGCGTGACTCTTGTAACGTAGTTATTTGAGAATAAATATATATTATTATTATATTATCTAAATCCTAGGAGACTTTGTTCTCTCCAAAGTCCTCTCCCAAAACGTACGGTGCAGAAGATGACTCTGCTAATATATAGTTCTTTAGCTTCATGAACTCCATGTTATTAGGTTGGTGAATATACAGCCAGAGTGATTCCGGATATTGTCGGAGGCAATTCAATCGATTCAAAATAGACAGCACATACTGGGACATATGCCGAGTTGGGTTACAATAAACTAAGTAAAATCAATCACAAGTATCAGATTGAGTCAGTCGTAGGATTTTTCTCCAGTGGCCACTTGTGACAAGGCAGATCCTTTAGATTTTTGGTCATTATATTCTAGTGGTCTGATAGACAACGATAGTTACTGCACTGTTTTTGCCTATAGATGTATTACAACTGGAGTTGAAAAATCAGCATCTTATTTCAGATCTTAAATGAGTTTAAGTTGTTTGACACCTTGGAAGGTGTTCAAGTTACATGAGACAAAGCGTCTGCAGCCACGTTAGTTACACCAGAAGTATGTCGTATATTTGTTATATACTCATGATTTAGTCTCAGTGCCAGGAGCCTTAAAAAGATCACTTTCCTGAAGATAGGCTAAAGGCAAAAGTTAAAATTTTGTGACCAGTGAGAGGAGTAACTTTCTGACCTTCCACCGTGTTGGGTGTGCCCTGTGTCATACTGCGCGGCCAGCAGTTCCCCGCCGAAGGTACTGTACTGCTCTAGGAATGTCTTCCGAGGTCATAGGGATTTGGTTATACGTTTTTACCAAGTGACTTCTGCAAAAGCAGTTATACCTTTCAAGGAAGCTGTTAATTCGTGAATGTATCGCGGTGGGTAACAATCGAGTGTGGTTTTCGTATTCGGTCACTGATAATTACCGCTGAGATGCCAATCAACGCTGTCCTTTTACGGGATTACATGCAACGGGATGCCCATTTTCAGTTTAGTGGTAGGACAATCGCTAAATCTATGATGTGATCGGTTTCGTAGTTGGTAAGTCTTAGATTCTTAGGGGTTAGTCGTCGCTCTTTTGGGAATGTAGGTGGTTCTATAGTCGCGATGTGACGTGCAGCATTGCTAGTTACACAGTAATTTTAGTCGAGTTTGGTACATCTTAGGGTACTTGTTGAGTACGGGTCGGTTATGTGTTTAATTGGGACGGAACATAACTTACAATAGGAGAATGAAACTCTACAGACAAACAGTTTGGTATTAATATCTACTAAACCCAATGTATTTCAGTCATTGACAGGTAATAGTACTTCTACCACTGTAAATGAATTTCTACAGTGGCCGTTCCAATGGGTTCCAATAGAGGCACTCCTGTACGCTTTTCCCAGTTCCGGGTCCCAACCAATTCAAAAAGAACAAAATTCTAGGAGAAAGCGTCTTTATTAATTAAAAAATGGAAATACAAAGCATTACCTGGAAATAGTGCTTCTTCCAGGGTACAGTTACTCCGCAGAGTATCAGACACAGTGACAGATAAGTGACACTAAGTCCAGCGGCCACTGCATCAATCCAAAAATGTGGCGGTAGCCATATTATATCAAATTTAAACAACATATGTACAGTTCAGAAGCAAACACAAAAAACTTCAATGTAAGTACAAAATATAGAAAGAATAACAATATACAATGATAAAATCTCAAATTGGAATCAAATAAAGTACCAAAAATGTCAACAGAAAAAGTCCGTCATGTCATAGCAAAAATACGCAAACATGGAGGGATTTTCCAAAAAACAAAACATTCAAAAAGGATTCTACAACCACGACGAAAATTCAGTGAATAGGTTCGGGTGAACTCGCGTTCAGTTAAAAGAGACTTTTTCTCCAAGCAGTGACCGGATTTTCGTTTGCCACCTGTAGATTGAAATGTGGATCGTGTGAAGTCTCTTTTCTGTTTTCTGGAAGGCTGTTAACCTCTTCTCAAGTATCGACTAGATAAAGAGCCTTTGTCATGCCAGGGATATAAAGGAGATGGCCATGGATGCTGTGAACGTGTGCCAGTGACGTCGTATTGAATTGAATGGTTCCCTTAACTTTATGAAACATTTGCCACAGATATTGTGGCACTGACACCTATTCCAGTAATGTGTTTCTCGCCATCTGGAAACTTATCTTTTACGCTGTGCGCTTCTCACAAAAGGCTTTGACCGTTCGTGATTGTGCTGATGATTCAGGGAGGGCATGATAATATTGCAATCGTCGGTAATTTGGTTTTAGCTTGATTGATATGTTTGTTCAGAGGAATAAACCTCGCAGAGAGAGGGTAGCAGCCTGCATCTGTTGTGGCAATTTGACCTGGAAGAGTTGTTTGAAGAGTCCTTAGTCATAAGTTCGTTGATCACTGACCTCTCTTATGTAACTACACTTCCGTTGCTAAGCTATGTTGTAGTTCAGTGTTGTGTAAAATTCGGTTTAACCATTGTTGATTAGTTAGACTCCATGCTGAAGTATTGATTTTTTCAGGTCTTCGTAAGGTTTGGAAAAGTCACTAGCAAACATAACGACTATAACGTACCTGTTCCACTAGCACGGTAGTGCTTTTACTACCGCAAGAGATTACACACGTGGGTCTATCACTCCCTACTTGTGGGAGTCAGCACTTGAACAGCAGAAACATGATTCACTGTTGTCAGGCCAGAATGGCATGAGTAGAAAACTCAGGGGCAAGGCAGTCTAACTCTTGAAAAAATTAATGTCACTATGTCATTATAGATGACAAGGAGTAGACCCACAGTATTTCTTCGAGTGTATTAGACCACTTAGTGCTTAAAGATATTTAGAGTTAGATTATTCTCTGGTCATAAGATTTTTCAAAGTAAGAATACTCAAAGCCAAGTAAAATCGGAATTCATGACTGTAAGGAATGGAGGCTATATTTGAATGGTGGCCAGGATATCGAGGATTTGGTGAACTAAACTCGCCAGCTGATGCGGGACTGAGTGCCATCAACTTAAGTGAACTTAGTAAAAATGTTGAGGTCAGCACCAATGTCGAAGATTGGCAAATCTATTTGTTTTGGGACTTTATTTGCCACCACAGTAGTATCCTCATTATGACTTTTATTTAACTAAGAAACTGCTGCATTGTTGTGCTTCAGCAACATGCTTTGAAATGAGCATATCCATCTACCCGCAAACTCTGCAACCCCGTCTTGTTCAATTATATTGAAATTTACTCCATTGTTTGAATGCACGTGCTTTTGATTGATATTCCCGACCCCTATTTTAGGCTCTTGTTTATCGTTTTCTTCTTTGATGGCACGTACGGGTTCCGTCTGTCTCATACTGTGTCATACCCTAACTCGGTACGTGATGACTACAGTCTGGTTACGAAAACTATTCCAGCCGTGTGGCTCGATTTACCCTCTCGAGCTACACAGAAACTCAGGGACCGTTACCTAACATCAGAAGGCGAGCTCAAAAGAGATGAAATGGCTAATGATAACTTTTTCATTAAAGGGAAGTTCAGATTTTTTTTAGTTTCATTGAAATCATGAATTTATCCATTTTAATCCACCATTAGAAGCGTGGAAGCACAGAACAGGCGTTTCATCCTAGTATGAGATTCATCGGCAGTGAGCATCCACGACTTCGGGTACTCGGGAATCGAACCCAGGACCTTCACTGTCTCACACTGGCGCTTAACCTGTAAACCAATGAGAGAGCATCCTACGGTGCTAACTTCTATCAATCCAAGATATTGTGCCACCTCATCTATTGTCTTCGGTGGGTAACTGCCTCACATCCGACATGTCGCAAAGACATTGCATATTGTACTGTTCAGCACTATGTTCAAGGTCATTCGTTCTAGGTACTTGTCCACCGGGATGCTGAAAAGTCTTGCGGATATACCGACTTGGTGTTCAGTCGCCAAAGGTACGTTTGTGTTGGACCTATCATGAAGTTCGTAGTGAGAGTACTGTTCAAGAATATACTCTTTGGAGATTGCTTCAAGCTTTTGATACTAACTAGTACCACTTTTATAACCCAATCGAGTGTCTAGGCACTCGACTTTAAGAGAAACTGAAACAATTTAGTGTATTTGGTAGATACCGTCAGGAATGTTGTGCGAATATTTGTATAAAGGTTTAATAAAACTCAACATTTACACGTAGGATTTTTCACCGAATTTATACAACTCTGGGGACTTTATCCCGAATCGACAATAAATTCACATCGAATTTACACTAAATAAGTCATTCTTATCCAATGTGCATGAAAAATCCACTTTCACCTGGATTTTCTCATGAAATTTCCGCCATGGCTGTACTGTTTAGTGTTGAACAGGATTACTACAAGTACTAAGTTTCCCTGATACAGTTTTCGCCCTTACATAACTACAATTGTCTACTGGTCACCCCAAAAAATCCCAGCTGTAAGCATTCTGCGTTCGTACAATGCCACCATCCTTTCATAATCCCTTGACAATTGATGAGTAAATAAGCGGTAGTAGACCTAAGAAAATTCGGGTTTTTTTGCGGAGATTTTGAGGTAAATGATGGAGTTTCAGGGAATTTTTAAGTCAGCGGAAGCTTTATACGAGTCCCTCAAACCAGTAAAAAAGGGGGATTTCTGTCTCGACTTCCTGAAAATTTCTACTGAATTTTCTGGTAGATCCCCACAAAATTTCGACTAGACTGGTCAGTTTTTTCTAGACCTTCGGGATTGGGTTCTCCATTTCATCGTCAATTTTAAGTGTGGTTAATCTTGCTAATACTTGGTTAGCTTTACAATTTTGGTGTGGTGACAAATGCTAACCTCAGCTACCTAATTGCTTTGAATTAAACTACTCACCTGGGATTTATCTTAGGATTGTTATAGTTGAGCAGAATGACTCACCAACCTGTGCTATTAACCTGTTTTGTAATACAATTTTATCATAGCAGTACGCTCGATGTTAAATGGATTTTACTGTTCTTTAATCTACCCAAAATAATAGCCCAAACTTTGTATGCAGACTCCGAGTAGCCATGATAATATACAGTAGATCCGAAAGGAACAAAAGCTGTAGGTAACATAAACCCATGAAGCTATTAACTGTTCAATTTATCCATGTTTTTAGGTGCTAACCATCTGATTGAAATCGATCTGATTATTGTGATTCACAGTTTCAGACCTTCCGTAACATAGCTCAGAATCGGTCACAACAGAGCAAATGTAATAATTCTTCGTCTTCTTCTGGACCTTAAGTTTCATTACCATTTCATACTGCAAGTCAGTGGTCTAGTGGTTGAGGCACTAGGCTTCCAGGCAGTAAGTTTTAGGTTCGAATCTCGTATCACCTACTTTTATTTGGGAATTCGAGTATCACACAGACATTGGGGCTGAAGCTGAGTACATAAACCTGTACTTCGAAAATGGATCACATTAATCTTGTACATTCTACACTCACATTCCGTCAAATCATTTTATTTTCAATCCTTCTCATCACCAGGCACCACTACTACAATCCTGTTGCTAATAATCTTATCGATTTCCTCAATGCACAGGAATGTAGATGGGTGCATGTTTACATCAGGTCTTAGATGATCATGACTGGGTTTGATCTTGGTAGTTAGGTATTATCATAGTCCTCAATGTTCAAAACTCAAAGTTAAGTATAGAAAACTATTTGATTAAGCTACTGTAAGATTTTTTGGTCTGTAATATTTAAAACATTTTATTAAGTACAATGATGAATTCAAATTCTACTAGTAGAGGAGATTTTCACGAACTGATTTTAGCTAGACCATCGCTGAAAACCTGAAAGTACTGGATCGCCATTTCATCCTAGTATGGGACTCCTCAACAGTGCACATACACATTAGATACCGGATCAATGGTCTAGGGGTTAGGTATCTACGCACGAGATTGCCGATGCACACTGCTAGAGTCCCATACTAGTATGACATGTGAGTCTAGTGTTTCTAGGTCTTCACTGGTGAAGTAGATAAAATTAGTGCATGATTCCAACTATGAAGATTTAAATTCGTCTTAAAATTCAATCTGTGAACTGCAGATTTTTCGTGCTTTTCAGTTTAGCCAGACTTAAGCAGGGGATTTTACTAGTAACACCGTTTACAGTTTCGTATACACAAAGTCTAAAGTTGGTCATGCTACATGTATTGGGAATTACAAAAGTGAAATGAAACTCTCAGATATCTCTTTTATAATATTTGCTTTTGGCAAGTGTAAAATAACTAAATTTATCGACTTACCACTGTTTCCTTTAAAAACTACTCTTTTAAAATGCTTAACTGCCTCCAAAAAATTTGTTTGACAGCAACAGGTGATTCAGTGTCGAATTTAGAATCACGTATTAGTTTATGGCGTGGAGATATAACACATCTCCAAATCGACGCTATTGCAAATGCTGCGAATTCTCAGTTGAGAGGTGGTGGGGGAGTTGATGGTGCAATACACAGAGCAGCTGGCTCACAATTGTTAGCAGCTTGTCAAAAACTTGGTGGTTGCCCAACTGGTGATGCAAAACTTACTCCAGGTTTCAATTTACCTTCCAAATGTATGTTCATCTTGGATATTCTATTTAAAAACTAACTTTTATTTGTTTTGCTTCATACGTTAAACCAGTTTATTCAGTGCCCAAGTCATATATTAAATTCTTTTTACATTTTATGTCATGCGAAAACATTAAATTCATGTAGCTATATTTCAGGTACTTGTTAGGAAGTAGATCAGATTATCCATTCATTTCATTTTTAAATATTATTTTGCTTTCTTCATTGTAGTTTCTGTAGGGTCAACAAACAATGCACAAACAAGTTGTTTTTTAGTGTTACTGTATTTTATCTTGTCCCTTATTGTTTTTCCTTTTATTATGCTTGTTGGTGTATTGGTCCTCCAAGTTGCCGATTAAAGATTTTGAACTGCTTCTTTTTGACAAACTAGCTACTAAAGATTTTGATCATACCGTCCAAACAAGCTGATGGGGATTTCGCCACTAGACTATATTTATCAAAATATTATTGGTTCTCATTTTGGATTCTTTCTTCTATCGGAAATTGTGATAAGGTATTAGTCCGTTACGTCATAAGTATTCTATAGATGTTAGGGGTGTTCCTTTGACCTTTCTGTATACGTATTGTGGTGTTTTCTTTATTTTATTCCAAAATATATATATGTACATGTGTTCCTATAGATGGTTTCATATATGTGCTCTCTTAACTCCGCCTAGAGCAACTCTGGGGCTACTGCTGGTCCTAAGCCTGGATAAAGGAGGAGGGTTGGGCATGGGGTTGGTGACCCCATCCCGTAGAAAACTAACTCGCTAGAAAAACGCTAACCAGAAAAAAATAATTCAAACCATTTTAACTCTGACCTGGGAGTCAGGTCTTCATTCAGAAGAGTTATTAGGTTTCATGATGAAAGCTGAGTCCCTTCGGAAGTCATGAGGCCGATGCCCCTTCTCACAATCAGAGCAACCATTCTTTTAAGTACATGGAACGTTCGTACATTGTGGGAGACTGGAAGACTATTTCAAGTTGCGGCAGAGATGAAAAGATACAACCTCGAGGTGCTCGGCATCAGTGAAACGCATTGGACACAGCTAGGACAACTGAGACTAGCTTCAGGGGAACTGCTGTTATACTCTGGCCATGAAGAGGAAAATGCTTCACATAAGGAGTTGCACTGATGCTGTCCAAACATGCACAAAAGGCACTAATAGGATGGGAATCTCATGGACCCAGGATCATTAAAGCATCCTTCAAAAGAAAGAAAGAGGATATTACAATTAACGTCATCCAATGCCACGCACCTGCCAATGACTACAATGACAAAGTTTAAGATCAATTCTACTAGACGCCGCTGTCAATCGTCTACAGACGCTCAAAAAAGGATTTGGCGATTCTAATGGGAGATCTAAATGCCAAGGTTGGCATGGACAGCACTGGATATGAAGACATCGTGGGAAGATATGGACTGGGAGAAAGGAACGAAAACGGTGAGAGATTCGCAAACCTATGTGCCTTCAGCAGACTGGTCATCGGCGGCACAATATTCCCTCACAAACACACACAAAACTACATGGATTTCTCTGAATCACACTACTCAGAACCAAATCGACCATATCCGTATCAAGAAAAGGTTCAGAAGGACCATGGAGGACGTGAGAACCTAGTGAGGAGCTGATATAGCCTCAGATCACCACTTGCTGGTCGCCAAAATGGAACTGAAACTCAAGAAACACTGAAAAACGTGGCGGACAACATCACAAAAGTTTATTACGGCCTTTCGTCGGGATACTGGAAAGCTCAACGAATTCAAGATAGCCCTCAACAATAGATTCCAGGCTTTTGACAATCTACTCGATGGAAAGGAAACTACCATAGAGAACAATTGGAAAGGGATCGAGAAGGCTATCACTTTAACATGTCAGGAGGTTCTGGGCCACAAGGAATGGATCTCTGTTGGTACTCTTGATAAAATTTAAGGAAGGAGGGACAAAAAGGCGGCAATCAACATCAGCCGAACAAGAGGAGAGAGAGTTAAGGCGGTTTCCGAATTCTAGGGTTGGGGGGTCGTGTCTGAGATGTATGGGTAATAAAGTACTTCCCACAAACAGTCAATAACTCTACTATCTCACAGACTAAGAGAATTGGAGGTCTACTCTAAAAGTACCACACCCTCATTTCATGAGTTTCTGTTATCGGTAGTAAAGTTCACCAAATGTGAAGCTAACATTTCAGGAGAAAAGAAACGTTGAGAAAAATGGTTGTATAATCAGCTTTAGACAGTTATTGTGGTGTTGTTTAGTTCTCTGAGCTGGTTGTTTTGGTTGTGGAGCTTTCATTGTTCTTCTGAACAACATCATCAACACAAACTTCAGATGGACAGTTATCTCTCGAGTTCTGTCGTCATATTTACACGTCAATATGACTATTCATCCTAATCCAGTTCCTTTTTCATTTTCCGTAAAATGAAATAGCTATTTGCAATACAAACAGTTCTGAAAATCCCAGGAAAGCTCAAATGGACGATGTCGGTCTATACTGAATTTGCTTCTGTTGTTTTTTCCTCCAAACTTGGTTCTCTGTAGGTGAGTTTCAGCAAAAAATCATAAATCCAAAAAATCGGTATCATCTTATAGAATCCTCCTCCCTACTTTATGACTACGTCAACCTACTAATGAGGACGTTTGTTTCATTTTTTCTATGATAGGTGTAATTTTTTCTTTTCAGAATTATTATCTGTCATTTTTTCAGGTTATTGATTCCGATATCCTATACTGTTTTAAACCTTAGATGTAATTCATTGTGTCGGACCAGTTGGACGAGATGATGCGGCTTTGGAGTCCACATACCGAAAGGCATTGGAGCTATGCTCTGAGCACAATATCCAGTCCATTGCATTTCCTTGCATATCTACAGGGGTTTATGGTAAGTTTTTAATAGTTTTGTAATTCTTACTGGTTTGTTCATGTCTGTAATACTTCTTTCTTATTTATAATCTTATCGAGTTACGTTCATTATTCATCTATGGTTTTTATTGTCTAAGAACATAATTACTAACTTGGTTTAGAGATACCGTGCTTTTTATTTTTATCACTACTTCTACTTTGGTATTCATTTTGATAATCACACCTCACTGTTCTGATTTGGTGTGGCAACTTGAACCTATGCAGTTTGCTAGGTTGTAATTCGTTTGTCTGGCTGATTTGTGTCTACTCACCTTAGGATCTGATATTACATAATTAAATAAACCGTGTAATCGGTCTATGCTAACACTAACTTAGATGGAAAGTATGTTGATTGTATTTTGTGGATTTTACTCCCAAATGCATGAAAAGTGTGTATTTAGCAAAGTTGCTAGAAGCATTAAAAAAATCATATAAATACTCATTTCCGAATGTTTTGTTACCAAGTCACTCTTTATAATTGAAATATACATTTATATGGATCAATCGTTGATAAGCATTTTATGTTCAACAATCGAAAAGCATCACAAACATTCTCCCTGGTCTCCAAAATATTTTATATCAGGGCATTCATGTGAATGGTTCTATCATCTTTGTACTGTAAGTTTATCTCTAAGATGGTGAAGGAAAACCCTTTTATCTTCGAAGGTATATCTGTACCAAAATAAAAGTCACTCGAGTAAATATTCGCACCACATACAGGCCTGCAAAACTCATCGACACTTCACACAAGAGTTCATTATGAACTTTAAATACTACGAATATTGATGCTCTTGGTTTTTAATAACATATCATACTAGATACTCCCTTCAGTAGTAATCACAGCCACAAGATATTTTGTAAAGGAGTTTGCGGGCGGTAGGTTTATTTGTGTTCCTGGATCTGTTACGCTATTGAAGGTCGGTCGATATATTCACTACAGGACTCAAAAACGTCTACTTGAGTTACTCAAAATTTCTCTATACGCATTTTACAATATCATCTAGTAGATTAGCGTGTATTTTCACAACACATTTAATACCAATAATGTATCTAATTATATATCGTATATTTTGATCCTTCATATTTAAACACAAGGTTTCCCTAATGAAGCAGCCGCCAAGGTTGCACTTCGTACAGTGCTTTCCTATCTTAAATCTCATCAAGAGGTTGGTTTTTTAATTATCTATGTTTGATAAAATGCATTCTTATCATATTTTTGTGGTACCATTTTACGTATTGGAGGATTATCTCATAATCGACATCTATTAATAATAACCAAAAGAGGTGATTAGAAACTCAGAAGTAATCATCTCTAACTAAGAATTAGTATAATTTCTCTAATGGTTTAATTAAAATGTTGTATAGAGGTGCGAGCATATTGGTGACAAGGTCTAGGTGGAATACATATATTTGGAGAAGACAGTTTATTTACAAAATATGTCCACATAATCTTCAAACATCCATTTACAGTACCAGCAGGTTTTTGACTGCCTTCTTCTATATCTCATTTTCAATACGCTCTAATTGCTCTATACAACACTCCGGTTTCCAGACAGTTATCGTAGCGACTTTTATGCGACTCTCCCCTGCATACCCTTATGCATACTCTATAAAAATAATTGTACAAATAAAGCTAACAGTATTAGGTTAGTTACGTGTTTAACACCACTCATTAATTAAAGCTACTGGTTTAATTCGGTAATACTGAGTAATAATGTTAGAGTTTGTCATACATCGACATATTATTGGTGTTATAGTTATTATTGAGTCATTCAAAAATTGAATATCATTTTATCAACAATTACGTTTTCAAAATTCGGTCGTTATTGTAGATTTGTAACTATTTGGAGGAGTTGCGTCGATTTTGTTTTCAATAAATACAGTATATCAACATTCGTTTGTAGTTTCTTGCCCTTAGATTTTCGGTATACGGTTAATTACATTCTGATTACAAACTTTTATCCCATATCCGTTGCTTTTCTATTCATTTCTAAAATATATGTCAGTTTGAAAACCAGTTTGTCTTCAACTAAAACTTATTCATTTCAAGATATTCCAAGGATTGGCTTGATAATCTCAAATAGATTAAGCGTAGGATAAATTGTTAATAATAAAAATGATATATTTTTAGTATTCTAATTAGTAGGAGAGTTGAAATTTTCTGACATTTCGTGACTCCTATGTAAACCACTTCAAAGAATAAATAAACGAATTACATTAGCCGGAATTTAAGTAGTACAGAGGAACAGAGCAAAAATATTTAGTACAACCAGTCAATCAAAAATAGGTCTGGCCAAGTCAATGTCATGTTAATTCGGTCAAGGTGATTTATATGAACTATGGTTGTGTACTTGTGTTTGTAAATCGGTGTGAAAAATGTGACACTTTTAATGTGAAAGAAGAGTTGAATTTATGTGCATGATATTAGTGGTTTATTTGAGAGTTATCATACTTTATCTGGCAGATGTCCTTAAAGCATCAATTTAATCATGAAATCCCTAAAACCATGCTCAGACTCAACCTTATTTACCTTTAACGGGGCGCTATACAAACAAACGGAGTAGCAATGGGATCCTCAGTGTCCCCGATTGTATCCACCCTGTTTCGCCACATGCAGAATCAAATATTTTCGCCAATACCATTAAACCACGAATTCCGCTGACGATACTGTTGTCGTCATGAAAAAGACTTTCCTACGAACCTTCTCTAAACTGATCAATACTTTCTCATCGCACCTTAAATTCACGTACAATGATCAAAATGAACACTGAGGTATCATTTTTAGATTGTGTGGTTAAAGGAAATCCGCGTAGAACTCTAGTATATAACGAAAACTGGCACACTGGTCGTTATATTGACTTCAATTCAACACACTCAATGCAAAAATCTCTCTGACCTTACTAAATCTCTCAAGAGGAGCGACCAAGATTATTAGATCTGAAGGGGATAAACAAAAAAAAGCAGAAACATATAATCAACATCTCACAATTTAATATTGTTAAAAATGTAATAAAACGAAATGATTTACTGCTAGATAATAGTTCGAATAAAATACCATGGATTAGTACTGTAGTTTTATCATACCGCCATAATGCAACAGAACCCTGAAAAGTCTTAAAACGATGCAAAATTAAAGCATACTGCAAAACAACCAACACCCTTTGAAACGCTATAGTTTATTCAAAAGATAAAACCCTCTTTATGTCAAAGCAAAACTGTCTAAAAATTAGGGTGTATCGATTGTGATGCCTTCTACATTGATCAGTCATCTCGTGAAATCTTGACTTAGTCAGTCAGTCAGTTCGTACTTCAACCAGAGAACATTTGAATTACACAGAAAACCCACCGAATAATCCCTCAGAACTTGAATGACTCCAAATTAGATCAGCAATAGCATTACGTAGTGTCTTCAAAACTATGAAGTCTTTATTCAAAATATTAAAGTAATACGAAAATGCTTTCCCAAGGATAGGCGTTGATTGTTATTATTATTACTGGTAAATAGACAACTTTTAATCGTTATGTTTTATATATTACTATCAAGTTTTATTAGGTATTATTAAATATTTTGTTCTTTTCTATTTCAGATTCAACGTGTAATCTTTTGTATATTTATGGATGTTGATTATAAAATTTATGAAAATTTAATTCCAGAGATGTTGGATTCTTATAAATAACTGAGTCCGTGTTTTTCATTATTGAAGCATTTATTTTTTGACGACTATTCTTCAAGTTTCTGTTTATAAATATGTATGAAACGAATAAAATTTTATGCTCGGTTATTTTGTTGTATCATGAGTTATACATCTTTTCCTCGTACATTGGTCTTCAAATATTTTATTTATCTTCATCACACCTCTTTTAACTACTCTAAAAGCACATTTTTTGCTCTCTGATCAAATGTTAGTGTAGTTTAAAAATCGGTTTTTTCTCGGGTTTTCTACCAGCTTTCCAGGCGTTGGACAGATATGTAATAGAATGTCTACGCTCATCAAATTAAGACACTAAGTATCCAAATAAGAAATGTGTTGAGGATTTTAGATCCACAGGACTCGCTTGATAAATGCCTTATTTTGGATTTCACGATTGCGAGCATGGGCTGATCAGTTGACCTTGAGGTTTCATTTCCCAGGAAAATCCATGGCCATGATTGGCTGCTGTGTATTTTAGTGTGCTATTTTCGTAACTGTCCCAAAGACGTTTCTATGATGTATAAATAAACGAGAGTTGTGTGCTTGATTGTATTGTGATTGCTGGGTGGTTGTAGAATATACTTTCTACGCTTACCAAGACTTCTGTTTACAGATTGGGATTCAAGGTGGCCTATCTGGACGCTGGTAATTGCCTCGTTCGCGTTTATCCACTAAGTTGAACTCGTAATAGCTTCAAGCGTACCTAGTGACGAACATAATAAAATGTATTCTATTTTGCTTAATAATCAGTTACTAAAGCCTGCTAAGTTTTTTGAATAAGTTTCAGTGTTATTTTAGATAGGTTTGCCTTCCTGATGATAAATAAAATAGAGAGTGGAGAAAGTAATAAATAATCTTCAAGATGAATAATGTAGTCTCTGTCATCGTATTAATTGTAATTAATTAAAGAACATTTGTTAAAATAACATTATTGATGAATCTTGTATAGACATAATTTTTTATGATAATTCAGCCTGAAGTAATTCTATGAAATCCAAAACGTTTAATTAGTAATCTAGTTCGCTATTATCGATCTAATAGCATGTGAAAAAAAGTTGAAAATGTTATGAATTAGATGGATACTCAGACCCTTGGTTTTCTTTATAATAGGTTTGTTCCAGACACAATATTCATCAAAATGCTAGTTTAAACTACTTATTATACACTTGTGGAATGTCTCATTCTCTAGCCATTGTCTCACCTGTTCTAATTAATGAGCAGTTCTATTTGATAATCTCACTAAGTTTCTATGCGAACAACAAACTTGTTTATGATAGTTTATTGGTTCGTGTTGGTGTGAATTATACTTTGGGTGCTGTATTACGTTCCGCTTTTGGATTTTATAATAGGCATACTCTAGTATATCCATTGATCGCTAGTTTGCAAAATATCAACTCGTTTCTTGGCCATCGGATTCGACCAACAAAATATATAGTTGGTTATATGTACCCGAAGGTGTTATCATGTCTAATGAGGAAGTTTATTCGCAATTTAAACAAAGCCTGATCTTTCCGCAACGAGTAAGCCGCTCTCAAAAATTTTAAAACAGAGTTTGTTGGTTCATAGGTTCCTTTTTTGAGGTAAACATGTACGTCAATTTTCCCAAGCACTAATAGGTCAAGTTTATCACCCTGGTCTTAAATATAAGCTGTCGGCATATGTAAATGTAAATACTGATGATCACATTAGTTATATTTTACGATTAATTTAATACCAGTTCTCATAATTAATCTACGCAACTAGTTACAGTTATTAATCGAAAACGGTAATCCATTCTTTAAATAACAAAAGATATTACAAACTTTTCCTCAATGGTATTCAAATAATAATTCTAAGCTTTAAATATATAAACAAAAACTGGCTTGATGGAACAATTATCGGTGATGATAATCTGGATCATGAATTCTTATTTCTTCTCACATGGATTACCTTGAGTTTTCACATTTCGATGATGTATCAAACAGTGTAAATCTTCCTCATTAGTTCTGATGATTAAGTACACACAGAAACGGTGAGGAGAATTTGACGAGTTAAGCTATGATCAAATTTTAGAGAAATTATATTTCTTTTAATTGTCACTTTTCGGTTAATACTGAAGGTATCCTCTCAGACAGCGGCGAACGACAGTCAAGATACAAGTCGACCCCACGAGCGCACGCTATTAAAAAGAGGAGGAGTGTTGGGGACGTTAGATCGCCAGAACTCGCTTGATAAAAGCCTTATTTTGGATTTCATGTTTGTGAGAATGTACTGATCAGTTAACCTTGGGAGTTCATCTCCCACCAGGGAAATCCTTGGCTGCTGTGTATCTGTGTGCTATTTTTGTGACTGTCCCAAGGACGTTTCTATGATGTAGAAATAAATGAGATTTGGGTGCTTGATTGCGTTGTGCTTGCTAGGTGTTTGTAGAATATACTTTCTGCGTTATACCGAGACTTCTCTTTAGCCGTTTAGGTAGCCTACCTGGACGCTGATTCATTCTCCCGTTCGCGTTTATCGACTAAGGTGAACCCGTAATAGTTTCAAGCATACTTAGAGATGAACCTAACCTAAGTGATTTCTTTAGAATTACATTGCTACGATGCAATGTAAATGCTGCAGAACACACTCAAAGCCACACGAATGATTAACACAAATAAATTGTCCGGATCGCTAGGAAGATGTACAGTTAAACTGATCAACACATCAGTAAATGCATACTAATATTAATAATTGATATCCATTTCTTAATGAACTATTTTATTTCACTACGTTCACTGTTTAATACTGAAGCATCAAAGTATTTTTGAAAATGCAATTGAAGCATTATAGACAGAATAATTTGTGTAGTGGCGTTAAACGTACTCTGATGAATTTGAATGGATTTAATTGATTTTGTTGATATCGTAAAAATTATCATTTAAATATAATATAGGATATCGTAATCAGACTACTTATTACATTTGGATTATTTAAAATTTGTTACTTTGATTACTACATCTTCGAATCATTCAGAAACTTTAAAAGTTCATTTAACTTAGTTATAATGGTATGTATTTATTACTGCTATTGAATATGTATATCGTTAAGTTCGAATGGGATATTGTAATTGAAGAAGCCTGGAGTAAGACAGTTACTATTTGATAACACTATATAATAACTATGTTATATCATTTGGAAATGTGAACCAATCAACTACAACTTAGTTTATCAAAGGAGTCATCAGTCAGTTACAGCGTAGAACTTTGTGCGTACGTGCATCAGTGCAAATCACCATGCCATATTAGTACAGAGACTCGTCAGTTCAACTCCCATAGCGGTAAAGATAGTAGAAGTATTAGCAGTAATCAAAAAGATTAATGATCGAATATATCATTCGAGATGTACACCTCAGAGGAGTCAGTTAAAAAGAGAAAAAACGGTCATGAGAAATTCAGCAGATTAGGATTTGAGAGAACACAAAAAGTGGATGCACCTGCGCCACTGTAAATGGTTTTGAGCCATGCCATTCAGGGCCTCTAACCATCGGTTACTATCATCTCGCGGACCTTAACCAGGTAGCCTACATCTACCAACATGACTCAGTTCAGTTGTCAGTGACTTCATGGAGTCACGGAAAAGAAAAAGACCGACTTCAAACTCTTCAGGATCCAGATTGATAACACTTTGAATAACGAGGTACAATAGGATTCAGAATAAGTATCTTTTCTTATTTAAAGCCCATTAGGTGGATGTGACCGGAATTCACTTTTTATATTCTCAGTAGAAATCACATACTAAGTATCCATCACTGACGTGATGACAAAAGACTTATGCTGTTACTGGCATTGTTGTTTGCTATGAACATAGTATAACTAGTACTTATCTCGACCGTAGCAGCTATCTTGACGTGATGGTCAGGCCTGCCTATTGTGATGACCCAACTGAGCTATCTTGGCTGGAACATACGTTCATGTAGGCCCTACCATTCCAGGCAAGTTGATTGGAGTATGGTAACACTAAAAGCACCAACTCTGGGTCTGAGGGCGAATTCGTACTGCTGACTGCAGAAGGGTGTGACAGCAGTAAGGTATTCCCCTCGGACAACCAGAATCTGCAGCGATGCTGCCTTCTCACAATGGAGGAAGGGTTAGAGAAGGTCGACCCCAAAAATGTCACACCTTACATCATGAATTTCCTTCTCCGGATGTAAGGACATTTAATGAGCGGTGCTTATATTTCCAAAATATCTCATAAAAAGGCCATGCATGTCCCGTGGGCTTTCAGTCACACTCCTAGGTCTCTAAGACCAAGGCTAATCTAACTTCCTCCTTAGGTTCTTCAAGAAGCGCCCTTCCATGGTGTGTGCAGCCGGGAAGTGACAACCGCTCTCAGACCCGTAAAAACACACGAGACCGAATTGGTGACAGTCAGATCCTTCCTACACCCCCTAACATCTCTCTTATTTCCACAACCAACCCTTTTCACTTTCCCAAATCACTCCGCGCCGCCAATGCGAAACGCCATTCTTGGTCTGCTGAAACCTTGTTCTAAACTATATATTGGAGATTTTAATGTTCGAACCTTGTGTCAAATAGGACAACGAGTTTCCTCAGCTAATACTCTAGAATCCCATGCTGTCGATGTATGTTGTGTCTCCAAAACGCGCATACTGGAAATGAGTAGAATCACTAACTTGACTTCACCTTGCCTAGGATTAACAATCATTTACGGTACGTGTATCTAGGAACACCACTGTTGCTTCCCGTGGCCTTGCTGGTGTAGATATAACTTTGAGTCCTAGGACAGAACTAGCTCTCTTAGACTGGATCTCAACAGTCGCTTGTGCACCGTGCGACTAAACGGAACAATAAGGACTCGGAAAGATTGGGGAACTTGCCGTTGCTTCTTTGTTGTCTCTGCCTGTGCTTCCTCCCACTGAAGGGTTTTACAGGAAGGTATTGGACATTCTTCAAAAGGTTAGACATCCTGATGTAGTAATATTGGCTGTGGAGTTTAATTCTCAAGTACGTAGACTAAGCGAAAATGGAAGACACTTGGGTGGATCCTATGGTTTCGCGACTCAGAGAACAGCTAATGGTCACCATCTAATGCAACTGTGCTCAGGTAACCGCCTATTTCTAGCAAATACTAACTTTAATCATTAGGAAAAACATCTCTTGACCTGACGACCCGAAAGGTGACCCAACTAGATCACACTTCTATCACTTATCGATGGAGAGGCTCCACTGGAAACTGTGGCTCATTCTGGAGCACTTGTTTAGATCATGCTCAAGTGCGAGCTTCTGCGTCCTAATGGATGTAGGAAAGACACCGCAGGGAAACCTCTTAGGGTCCTATTTAATGATAGTATAGCTAAGAATATATTTCAGGGACAACTAGAAAAACAGTTAGACAGTCACGTAAGTGATGTCCATCTCGCGACAACTAGGAACAATATCCAAAAAGCTGTGAAAGCAGCAGCGATATCTGCTGGTAAGGTAAACCATAAGGTTAAGAAGCAGTGGATTTCAGTAGCATCTGCATAACTGATAGATACTCGTAAACATCCCGTATGGATCCGAACATGTCGAATAGCGAAGTTAGCTTAAGCTCAGGCTGATAAAAAGCCTAT